GATTCGTTCTCACGAGATCCCGTCATCAATATCGTGTTTCTTAAACATGGCATTAAACATAAGAACAAACATTTAGGTGAATTCTTCATTCCAAAATCGAGTTGAGTTCAGCTACAAAAAAAAAAAAGACATCAACAAGGAATGCGAATCGCGGCGTGTTGAACGACGCATTTCTTTCGCTCACGCGCACGGCAAAAAGGCGAGATCACTGCACGGAAGTCCTCACGAAATCATTACTACGTGACGAAGAAATGTTTTTGGCGCATTCCACACTTCATTCATGTGGAACATGACTCATTAGAAAAGGTTTTCACGAGACGTTTTATCGAATGCCGAAGGAAGATACTGTATTAGAAAAGTATACCTTAAAATCGGTACAGTAGCTAGCAGAAAAAACTGAGCGCAAATTCGTCAAGAATTACAGCATGACAATTGCGAATTTTGCGATTATGTAAGGATGCTTGGGCTCGAGATCAGAAAAACGCTGTCCGCATTCTGATCTTAGGGAAGTGCATGTTAAAACCCCCGCAAATGAGTCCCATTGCCATTTTTCAGAGTGGAAATATTTTGAAGAAGTGTGTATTATTAATAAAAATATTTAGATGACAATGGGATCATACATGTCGCTTCTTCAAAGCGTAGAAGTCTGCATTCATCTATTTGCAATCGTTCCCTCAAATTTCACAGAACTCGCAGCTGGAAGGGGACATCGGCGCGAACTGACTGTTTTCTACATTTTTTACGAACCAAGTTTCTCAATTGTGTACTTGCGAGTTCCAAAGCTTTGTTACTTTGACTGAATTAGCGTCTGTTTAGGAAATATTCGTCACAGAATTATGCGAGAAGACTTCATATTGACGATAGTGCTAATCGCGTTTGCGATGCTCGCGATTGATGCACAAGTTACATTCGGGTCCGGTAAAAATCCCGATTTTCCCTTGGGCGCTGAATACAGCAGTCCTACGGAATTCACGAACAACCACGAAAAGGACTTCACGAAATACCGGAATCAACCTGCGGAAAGTAGTCCTGCGACCGGCAGCGACATAAAGTGAGTTTGTGCACCCAAGTAAGACATGAACCCCATTCTTTTGGCATTGATTTCCAGAGAAATGGCGCAGGTGATAGTTGTATAAATATGGCATTTGTAACCAACTGAATTATAATTTATGTAGCATAGGACAGATGGCATTGGGGGTTCAAATAATAAAGGTTATTTATTTTTTTTCTTCCTGTGGATCTCTGAGTTGAAGTCTAGAACCATCTGATTTTATGTCACTTATCTGTGAATATACACTTATTACTTAGAATATACAGATGGACTCTCTCTATACCACAAAATTGAAAGGACCAGGAAAAATATTTGTGTAGGGAACCCCTAGACTAGAACATGGGCAGAGAACCCTATGCCATGGGACCAACAAAGAAAAATTTGTTCTACATAGAAAAGCATTTATGACAAGATTTTTGTCATAAATGCGAACGATTTTTTTTACAAAAAAAGTTGGTTGTCATTTACCAAGTTTTTGTAGAGAGAGTTTACCTGTATATCCAGGAGGTGATATGTAAGCACTGCCATGTCTGGAACGTGGTTGCTAAATTAAATACTCTGGACAAAAATAATCGAATGCAGGTGGTACTTGGCAATTTGAAATCCCACAATTTTACCATCCTGAAATTCAACGGACACATTTGCTCGGATGAGGTTGACTTGCAATTTGACCTCTGCTCCGCAATCCAACCTGCAGAGGGCTGAAAATGTCAAATTACATGTAGAAAACATTGCATTTTGCAATTTCTTGCGATTCAACCACTTTATAATTCTATCCTAGCCTGCATGTCAATGAATTGGTGTTGAATTGCGGGTACCACCTGTACACTGTATATATGATGGTAGAGGGATTGAATATTAAGGCCGGGTACCTGAGGGTCAGAAAGAATTT